CATTTGAACTAGGATAAGCGCTTAAAGGCAGTGTTTCACCAAAATTTATTTGCCGAGATTTTTGCATTGTGCAAGCCTCTCGGACCCTGTTTAGCACTGTATGGGCCTTAAATCGCAAGAAGTGTCCAAAAACCTCGTTTTCTGGAGGCCTCGCGGAAGCAACGTGGACAAGTTGTACCTTCCAACTTCAGCCTCAGCCACAGTGGCAGCAACAGAGGGGTGGTGGATGCCAAGTGGAGGGACATGTTCAAACGCGTAAGGGGGAGACCGAAGGAGTCGTCCACGCGTTCCAAATCGCTCTCCGCGTACCACTTTGAGCAAATTTTTCTCAGCGTGGAGGGGGTCAGATTGAGTGGGACTTGTTGCAATGGCCTATTTAGAGTCCCAATCATAGAATATGTGAAGATCCGCGCGACCTCAACTTTGGTGAGACACTGCCTTTAATCTCGCGGCCCGTGCTCCACAGTGATGTCCAGTTGCGGTCAGCGAGTCAACTATACCTGTTTGTCCGCTTGTCTGTCTGTCTGCCCGACCTGTCTACCTGTCTGTCTGTCTTCTGTTTCTCCCTCTGTCTGGGGTATCTGCTGGTATACCCTGTCCGTTTGTTTGCCTACCCTCTTGTGGCCTACCCGTCTTTCTGTTTGTGTCTACCTTTACTCACCCGCTATGCGTATTTAGTTCGGTAATGGTAAGCTATGTCTAGTTTTAGTAAAATGGAACTAGGAAAACTTAATTTCACTGTACAACACGTTTCCGCTCTTTTCTGAGCCAGTCTGCGCACATCAATAAATTTCGCGACCAAAGGGCTCCTCAGACTGCTTTTCCTTACCTAAAAAATTTCAAGGCATGATGGTGCAGACGAGCCGCTTGCTTTAGAATTAAAATAAAAAAGGGGTGTCTTGTAATTGTGAAAGTAGTCTAAGTACGATGGTACCTATGTCGTCCATGGATTGGGGAAGGACAGATTGAACAAAAACATGCTTATTTGGCCCAAGGACTGGTCAGAGCGAGCTTTCAGCCTCGTGTCTCAATAGAGTCCTTGGAAACTAGCTAAAATGCAACTACAGTCGAGCTGATGTGACAGCAAATATAGTTTCTTGCCGTGAGTTTGAGAATTTACGGTAAAATTTGCTCTTGCACAAATAGTAAAATGGTTGAAGTGCAGGCAAAATGCCGGCATTGCAGGGGCAGCCATTTGTTTAAGCGCTAATTTGACAATTTATTTTCCGTCAGATCTAGTCGACTGTAGATCTTATATATAAAGCTGAATGTCTGTTTGTATGTATGTATGTCTGTCTGCCTATCTGTATGTCTGTGTGTACGTATGTTCCGAATAGAAAATTCCATTTCTGAACCGATCGGGACCAAACTTGGCACACATACACTTCGGGCCCCGGCGGGTGTCATAGGCTACTTTTCGTATCGATCGATATCGATTTTTTGCAAAATTTGAGCTACGGGGCTAGTTGGCACAGGGGGGGGTAAGTGAGCATGGGGATTCCGAATACAATATTAGTTTTTAAAATCGTGCATTACTTTTATCGATTTTATCGATTTTTTGCAAAATTTGAGCTAGGGGGGGCTGGGATTTGGCACAGGGGGGGGGGGGTAATCGAGCATGCTGATCACCCCCACGGGGTGATCAGCATGCTCGATTACACCCCCCCTGGCAAATTCCAGCCCCCTAGCTCAAATTTTGCAAAAAATCGATAAAATCGATAAAAGTAATGCACGGTTTCGAAAACTAATATTGTATTCGTAATCAGCATGCTCGATTACCCCCTGTGCCAAATCCCAGCCCCCTAGCTCAAATTTTGCAAAAAATCGATAAAATCGATATCGATCGATACGAAAAGTAGCCTATGACACCCGCCGGGGCAGGAAGTGTATGTGTGCCAAGTTTGGTCCGGATCGGTTAAGAAATGGAATTTTCTGTTCGGAACATACGGCGGAGCCGGGTAAGCCAGCTAGTACAGTATATGGAATTCGCATGCTCGATTTTCCAAGCAAAATTGCTTATCATCTCGCTTCCACAGGCCTCGAGCAGATAGAGAAGATAGAATGGGTACTGCCTCAACCTGGGTGCATGTCGAAAGGCGCACATTTCAGCAGTCGTCATTGCCAGAAGGAATTTGTACTTTACAAAGAAGAGGTTTTCAAGCTCTTAAATTTCCGTCATCGATCAGAAATAGTAACAGAGGATTATTAGTTGAATTTCCGGAAGTACTAAACAAAATCAAACTTTTTTCCTGGTTTTCCTGATTGGTGACAATCGAAAATACGCGCCATTCGACAGTCTACCCCGTAGCCCTTCGATGACATGTTAATGTAATGAAAACATGTTGCATTTTTCCTGTCGGTCTAAACTTGCTGGAGCTTGCATAATCAGGTTTTGCTCTTACAAAGCAGTCAAATTGATTCATTCTAGTCTTTGAGTTCAATCAGAGTGGGTGCTCATAATTTCATAATTATATGTACCTATTTGAATCACCCAGTTAAAGGACAAACTCCAAACGCATCGATTGCGCATTGCAAGTACAGGAACACCCAGAAATGGCCCAAAACACTGCTATTCTAGCGATTTGCTTCATGTGAGTTCGTTCTTGTACGTGGTTATCTTACATCAAAAGTAGAGTGCTATTTGGGGTTCCATGAGTCTGTAGATTCATGGGCAAAGTAAAGCGTGGAGTGTGGTGCGCCAGGGCTCGTAATCGACGTGATACTGATGTTAGTGTGAACATTGTATTCGCTAATTTTCAGTAGAACTCATTATGCAAAAGACATGCATACCAGTGCATTAACCTGCCATCGTATACGTATGGTTGCATTATAGTGATTTCCTATGAAGCAAAACGAGAAGTGTTTTCGTAACTAGCATGTCAAATAATCCTGCGGATCAAGTTTTAGCTAATCCTAAAGTTTCAAAATGTTGGGCCGCATAATTGAAGTGGCTTTTCGGACAGGTTCAACTTGTTATGAAGGTGTGTTAGTTTCCTCTTTATGCACTATAAACAATAACTACTTTTTCTTTGCCCAAGTGAAAATTCCCTTCAAATGATCGCAAAACTATTGAGAGAAAGCCGAAATTTCAATGTCTCATTATCTCTTCCAGTGTTTCGCTTTTAGCAACTGCTTGAAGTATAAATGACAAATTTATGCCTGAATCACTCCTGTGAAAACTAAGGGACCTTAGCTATCAATTAATATATTTTTCCCACCTTCTTTCACTATAATTTTGGGTGTTGAGCGATTCGTACGACCGTAATGCTTTTCACGCAGGAACACCGCCGCGCAACACAACCTGCGGCGGCTTTTGCCTAACAAGGGAAGGCATAGGGCTCGCAGTGGATATGCCCTATGAAATGTATTTCAAACAATCTTTGAGCGCTTGTTTCAAATAACCTTCCATGTCTGCTTATCGGCTTACTAACAGGTTAGGAACATTTTTCCGCTTCCGATTTGCATGGTTAGATACTGTGTAATGAGCTAAAATCGTAATAAATGCGAATTTGCTCCAAGTTACATGCCCAGAAGTCTGAGTTATATTTGTTATGCATAAAAAAATCGATGGAAATTGTTTTGGAGCTACTCTGTCGTCTTCGTTCTGCAATAAGCAACCAGAATTAGTGGCATATGAGGCCAAACAAATGCATGTAACTTTGTTTAGTAAACAAATAAGCAGATATGGAAGGTTGTTCTGAAATCAGCATTTAAAGGGCTTTCGACTGATATATATTCATGAAACTCTACTGCGAGTCATATACTATCCCTGTTGAGCAAAACAGGAAGAGGAAAGATTTGCGGCGTGCGGGACGTGTTGTGACAAGCCAAAACTGCGGCGATGGAGACCGCCCGTGCGAGAAGATCGTCTCCCATATACTAGGCCGGTGCAAAAGTTTTGTCAGTTGTTTGGATTGACTCGGAATCCCCGTGCAGTGAAAATAATCATGCAGAATTTCCTTCTTTTCAGCAGATTTATTGTGACTCGTTGAGAGAGTGTTGAGATAATCGCTGGGATTACCACCCTTCGTTTTTAACATGTCTTTTCGCTAATTTTCAAAATTTTATCTGAGATTCTTGAAAGAGCTTTTATAGCCAGCGTATAGGGCAAATTTTGTAAACGAAAGCAAATTTTTGTCTTTTTTCAGCTAGTCTTTTACAATCTTGCTAAACAATTTTACAAAAGTCTTGAGTTCCAAAAGAATCGCATATCTGTTACTGCACCAAACACTGCGAAATCTGCAGAATACTGAGAATTCAACGCTTGCCCATTACTTCTAACATTAGAAGGTAAATGAGTAATCTTCGCTTCAAAATATGAACTCTTCGAAACTTAGGCCTGTATGCACGTACACCTTCCCACATGTACCTCCGCGCAGCGCACGCAGCACATGCCTTCAGTGCGCTTTTCGTCTTAGCCTCTATGGTTTTTATGCGTTTCTCTCTTTAATGACTTTGTTTTTTTCTGTCATCTCTTTTATTTTTAGGATTAAACGACCCACGACAGCTGATGGTGATAAGTTTACGAGCCTTAAAAGTTTTGAGAGCTCTCAGAGAGTTTTTTCATCTCTCGGTAGTGAAAACTGAGTGTTTAGGAAGATTTTTCTTCAAAGGTTTATATCAAGGACTTAGCTATCTGTCCGATTGAATTTGTCTTGTATGGATGCTTGTAGTTCCCATTTAAAACGACATTGAAGCTTCTGCTTGTACAATTAAGCTCTTGAGCTTACACTTTTCAGGTTTTTTCAATGATTACACAAAACATTTTAAAATGGTTTACTTTCTTATTTCTATGTATTCACTAATCATCGGTAATATCATACTAGTTTCCATGAAACTGACTAAAAACTAGTGTTGGTGGAAGTTATGGAAGCGCTCTTCTCTGCTTCTTTTCTCGAGCTGAGATTAGAGGGTTCCAGTTCTTATTTTGCTCCTATCTTCACGTAAAAAGCTTTTTTGTTCATAAGTGGGATGAGAAGCGTCAACAGAGCGCGCTGCGTATGCGCCGCGTAGGACCTATGGGAAGCTGGCCGAGGCCCACACTGTATCTTTTTCTTACATCTCTATCTTTCTTATGGAGGTTTTCATCATGATTTGATAATAACAGGCTAAGGGTTGTTTACGTCTGTTTGCGACTTTTGGCTTGCCAAAATGGGTCGGTAATTGGACTTTTCGCAAAGTCGTGGATTTGTAAAAGTAAGTCCGAAAAACATTAACTTCAGCCCAAAAAAGTAAGCAAAAAGCCTATAGCTGCGCAAAATCGGCGGCTAAAGGGTGTAACAAATGTAAATGTCAATTCACCAAGCCTTTAATTCAAAAATTGGAAAGATTAGAGATGCAGCCGAAGGTGATCTTCATCCTTATGGCGACTATAAAGCCAAAACAATTTCCTTAAACCATACAGAATTGCATTTGTTCTTCTGTGGGAAAATTCTTTCTCCCAAAATTACCGATCTTACATAGAAAAGCTCTGAAAATGAACGGTTGTTTACAAATCATTTGTGACGATCGTCATCCCGGATAAGTTCCAAAGTCAAGTCATTGTTATGCTATCACGATGAAGGCACACGGATGGTACAGCCAGGCCAGTGCGAACCTCTGCGAAGCAGAGGTGACGCAATGGTGTTCTAATACCTGCGCATAATTGATGCCAGGTTACTGGCATAATTGATTAGACTTTCACTATTTTGTGTGATTCCGTGGGGATCCTTAGGAGATCATCCCTCATTTTCAAAGTGATTTATCTTTCTGAGAAGTTAATGAAAACGCTATAAATTTGTACTGAGGATACATTAGGCACTGCTAGGCATGTTTTTGACAGGAGAACTGGAGTCTAAAGATTGTGAATTTTTCGATGAACCCTGGCTCGCGAGCTAGGGTTTACCGAAGATTTCGATATTTTGAAATTTCATTTATTTTACTATGAGTATCTTCAGCAGTGCCGTAGTATATCCACAAAGCAATTTTACAGGTTTTCACTTAGTTTTCGAGAAGATAAATGAAACTTAAATTGAAAGTTGATATCCTGGGTATCCCCTGGGGATCCTCAGGGGATCACACAAAATAGTGAAAATCTAATCGATTGTGCCAGTAATCAATTATGCGCAGCTATTAAGGTATGAGGACCTTTATAAGCAGGATAGAGAAGGAAGAAGAAAGTAAAAAAAGGAAGAAAGGAAGTAGCGAGATACGACGCATCCACTCTCAGATTCCCTCCCACCCCCAGAGTGGATGTACGTGCATGGCCTTAGGGTGCGACAGTGCGTCCTTGCGAACTTTAGAAATAATGTGAGCTTTCACAAAAACTTAACGCATCTCGCCAAAGGGCAATTGTAAAGAAAAGAAAAAGTTGCACTGAATAGTACGTGAACTTCACAATTTCACGTTCTACGAGATTGGAATAGGACGAATATAAAATTCGGTTGGCTTAGTGACTTTCCACAGAGCTACAAAAAGTTGCATCAGTTGGCAAAAGCTTTGCCCTATCTGCTGGCTGTCACAGTTTCCCCAAGAGTCCCAAGGAAAGTTATGAAAATTAGCGAAGTTTGGACATGGTGTAAACGAAAAGTTGCGATTTTCAGCAACTATCTCATTGCCCTCTCAACGAATCACGCTGGGAATGAAGGCTGGAAAGAGGAAGAAATTCTGCGTATATTACAGCTTATAATCAAGGTCAAGCGTGGGGTGTGGCACCCCCCTTGAAAAGCTGTGGCCGCCACATCTTTTAATGGGTTGTGCCACACCCCATTAACTATATTTAAAAAAACATTTTTAGCGAACTTTATTTATAAATTGATAGCCTAAACCTTGTAGATTCCATAAGAATGTTTTAAGCCTGATTTATCTTTTTAGCTCTGAGTAATATTCGATGAAAGCACAGCCATCAAAACCGAAAATGGGAAAAACGAGATTTTGGTTGGCTTCTATAGGATGCGGAAAAATTACTGTTCCTCCAGCTTGGCCCCTGAAATACCCTAAGCATAGAGCAAATCTGTAGTTTTTTGATTCCCATAGTAGGCGGGATCCTTGAGATTATAGATAAAGATAAATTTGATTTAAAACTGCTCCCTCCTGTCCGCTTAAACGAGCCATAACAGCGCGCACGAACACTAACGATGCGCCAATAACATACAAGCGCGATTTTGGACCGTAACTATACCACCGGCATTGCTATAAGGTTCAAATCAAGCTGGTATGTAGTGCATGACATCTTCTTCAATGATCTATACCCATTATAGATGAATTATAAATTGGTGATTCCTATTTTGGAAAAATAAGAAAGATTATATCACACGCAAATCGCAAAAATTCTCGAAAAAGACGAGTCAGTAGTGCGCTTGCTTAATGAATTCGATTGAAGCTATGATTCGAAATTCCAGATTCCAACAAAGGTGACAGGAATAATAAAAAAAAAAGCATCGGACTTTGTCTACATCCGATTTTGGAGCGATAAACGATTATACCTAGTCTCTGTGCGACGTTTTCTGATCTCACTCTGTTGCTCCGCAGCCACTTTCTCGTTAGAAAAGTTTACAGCTTTTCTCCTAGTGCAACTGCTGACTGGATACTTTTAGAATATTTCGGGATCCAC